TGAGCCCAGGAGTTCAAAGTCAGCCTGGGCAACATAGTGAGCTTCTGTCTCAAAAACAAAAATAAATACAAAGTGAAGGAAAGAAAGGAAGCTGACGCTCAGAACGGCACAGTCACGTGCCTGTATCTGAGTATGTGTCACTTCTTTCCCTGAGCCCACCTCCCCTCTGACTGGACGTACTCGCTGAGCCCAGGGTCCCCTGAACTCCCTGCTCGGCTCACCTTTAACTTCCCCTCTAGGGTTCGAGAACGCTTGAAGCCTGAGTTCTTGGTCTCAGCCTTGATGGCACTGATGGCTCCTGACTTCACCAGCTGTTTTGCCTGCTCTGTGGCTGTGGCTGTGTCCACTACAGGCTGCTCCGACAGTGCTGGGGGTGAGGGAAGGAGTTGCCGTTGGCTGTTGGCAGCAGTCGGCCCCTGCTGCTCCCTTCTCACCCTCCCCGTTTCCCGTCACTCACAGCGTTTGACGCCACCTTGGCTGGCTGTGCTGCTGCTGCTTTGCTTCTTCAGAGCCAGCAATGCCTTTTTCTGGGAACAAGGAGGAGCAGAGAGGAGTCAGTGAGGACCAGCTCTGGCCAGGCCCTGTCCCGGGGCCCCTGGAAGGTTGCTCCAGGGACACCTTTCTCAGAGAAAACACAAACGGTACCCCCATAGCGGCAATCAAGGCAGCCCTGCCTCTGGCACCTGATCCCCCAGGATCATCTGTGATGCCAGCAGCACCGCACCTAACCAAGCCATGGGACCCGAGACTGCCAGTCTTGCATTTTTGAAGATGAAGAAAATGAAATCAGTCATGAACTAGAGCCCTAGGATGTAAGCAGCGAGTAAGTATAAGCGTATGTGCTTCTGGGGGGCTTCATCCATCTACCCCTACAAATTTAAGGAAGCTGACATGTTGTTGTAAGAGGGGTACAGAGAAGTAAAATGCACAGTTCTGATCCTCAAGATGCTTACAGGCCAGGAAACACAATTACCAGACTGAGCTGCCAAGAATGATTAGAAGAGGGGCAGATTACTTGCAGCTGACTGCAAATAAGATTTTTCTGATGCTTAAATAGCTATTAAACTGGGCCCTGGATAGGATTTCCCCAACACAAATACAGCAGGAAGGTATTTTAGACAAAGAAAACAGGGTGGCAAAGATACAAAGGAAAGGTTTTTGGAACACATGTTTTGGAGCAGGAAATAGTTCAGTTTGATTAGAAAGGGATGCCAAGATGGGTTTGAGGGCTTTATTCTGCCATACAACATAAAGCTATTAAATGGATTTTGAGAAAGAGGACCAAGTTTAGCATTTTGAACTGGTCATTTTAACAGCAGTGACGAGGTCTATCCAAAAAAAGACAGAAACTTAGGAGACCATTACAACAGCCTTGGTGATTTTCAGCAAAGCCCTGCTCTGAGGAAGCCATAAGAATGAGTGAGAAAGAGAAACTGCTTCGAAAGAAGGATTAAAAAGATTTGGCACTCCGGGGCAGTGGGACACATGCGTGTAGTGTCAACTCTGTTATGAGGCTGAGGCAAGAAAGTTGCTTGAGCCCAGGAGTTCAA